GTCCAGGACCTTGGGGCTGCTCGGTGTGGGGTGGGGAAGGACGGGCCCAGCCCCGCTGTGGTGGAGGGCGAAGGACAGGCCCGGCCTGGGCAACCCCCGTCCCCAGCAGTGCCACGCTGTTCTCCATCGCACGAGGAGATGGAGGGGGCAAGTTTGGGCACCAGAGCCTCCCCTGCGCCGTCCCTGTGTGGTGGGGCACGTTCCTGCTTGGAGCCTTTTATCTCATCCCCACCACACAGCACCCGGTGCCAAAACACCACCATTGTGGCACAGATGAGGGTGCTAACGCCTGTCCGGAGCCAGCCCCACACCGGGGTGCAGAGGCTGGTGAGGGTCCCACTGCCACCGCCAGCCACCCCCCCAGCTCTGCCAATGGCGATGGGGGGGTCTCTGAGCTGGGGGTGCCCTAAAGGGCTCATTAGGGGCCTCATCTCCCTGCTGCACCCACACGGGTTTGCAGGAGGGGTCTGCATTTCCCAATCCCCATGGGGGCAGCACCCAGGGGGCTTGGGTGGGCTCACACCACCCCTGGAACTGCTACTGAGGAGGGGGCAAACGAGAGAAACCATTTTCAGGTGGAGTTTTAGGGAGGGTCAGGGAAGATATAAAGGGGAGAGGCTCCCAGCAAGGCAAAGTGCAGCAGCTCTGGTGCTGTGAGGATGCGGTGGGGGGGCAGCAGCAGCAGCAGGAGGTACCAGCCCCAGGGATGTGCCTAGGGGGGCACATCTTGGGGGTCAGTGCTTGTTCTGTGCTAGGGCTGATGGATGATGCTGTGGTCGTTGGAGGGTGTGATTGGGGAGGGTAACACGAAGCTGGGTCTGGCAGCAAGCGTTAATCCTCGGTATCGGAGGGATGTGGAGTAGCCCAGAGAAAGAGGATGCTTGGAGTGGCTGCTTTTCCCCAAAATCCCCGCATTTTGCGGTGATAACTGCGCCCACACCTTGGCCCCATGGTCCTGGGTGCCAACCTGCATCCCCAGCAGGGATGGAGCTGAGCCGGACGTGTGGGCTCTGCTCGGACGCAGCCGGTCCGGGCTGGGAGAGGAAGATCTCCCATGGCTGTGGTCTGACACCCCGGATTTGGGGAGAAGATGGCAAAACAAGGGTTATGCGGAGGGGGCTCTTCCTTGCCAGGTGTTAAAGTCCTGACAACCGCTGTCAAAGGAGCCTTTCATGTAGGCATTCCCGGGCAGCCCTCAACACGCCTGGGAAATAAAACTGCTCTGGAAGCGCAGAGGTGCATTACGGCAAGTTCTTTGGTAACAAATTCCCTCATTAGACCATGTTATGACATGGATAAATCTCTGTTAAATAGCAGAGCGATTGCCCCGCAGGGGGAGAGGCTGCCGCTCGACGCAGGCATGCCTCCGCTGATAACCTTATCGTGTCCCAACAGCTCCGGCAGCGCCTCCAAATCCCCTCCGCAACAACAACCCCTTCCTCCGGGAGCTCGCATCGGTAACCGTGGGCGAGCAAAGCCAGGGCTGCGTGGCCGTGGCCGCCATCCCGGCTCCTTGTGGGCGCTGGTGAGCGGCCGTAACGGTGCTGAGCCCCGCGTAAACCCGCGGGACGTGTTTTGCTCCAGGTTTGCCCTCGTCTGCGAGGGCTCCATCGCTGCCCCTTGCCACTGCTGGGGTCTGTCCTGCAGGGCAAGCCCAGAGCTCCAGGGGTAACTGGAAAAGCCAAATCATTCCAGCACGAGCAGCACACGGGCGTTAACCTCTGTTTCTACAGGGCCTTGGTACCGCCAGGGTCTTTCGATGGGGTTTCCTTTAGCTCTGCATTGAAACACGGCCACTGCTTGAGACGGAGACCACGCTGCACCGATGCTGAACATAACGGGAAACATGGAGCGACCAAGCCCTGCGGTGCAATGGCCACGGTGAGGGTTTACCAGGGTTTTCCAAGGATAAGTTCTGCACTTACCATCACAGAATCACAGAATGGCTTGGTTGGAAAAGCCCTCTGAGATCATCACGTCCAACCGCTCCTGTCTGCCCCCTAAACCATATCCCTAAGTACCTCGTCTACCCGCTCTTTAAACACATCCAGGGATGGTGACAAGACCCAAATGAGCAGCGATCCACGCAGACCGATACAGCCCCAGCTGTGGAGCAGCAATGAAACCACTGAACCTCAGCATCCGCCGCTGCCCACCCCGAGCAGCCCCCCAGGACGGGGCTGGGAGAGGCCACCGGACCCAAAGCTGCTTCCGCACAGGACGCGGGAGCGGGGAGAGGCGTTTTCCCCGAGGATGCTGACAGCCTCGCACAGAAACAACCCGAATCCCCTGGGCGGAAAGGCCTCCCGGCGAAGCCCATCTGCCGGCAGCCCTCCCCGGGCAGCAGGACCGCTAGGAGGATGTGTCCCAACAGATTCGGAGCCGATAAAATCTTATTTATCTTCAACTGTTGACACCGAAGCGTCTAGACTTGCCTGCTTCGGGAGGGCCGCAGCCAAGTCCTCCCTTCCCTCCTGAAGGAAATGATTTGCTCAACAATTACTTTTTCCACAAATCCTCCCCCTCTCCTCCTCCTCCCCTGCATTCCAGTCTCCTCATTAGCTCCACTCGGGACGTGTCCAGGGCTGCAGCCGA